ATTTAGACAACAAAAATTGATTAAGATATCATTTATTTCAGAGTCACTAAAATAAAAATAGAAGCAAGTCAGAAAAAATCAAATGGAATAAAAACAGAAATGACGTTCATTCTTTTATAATACTCATATTTATTTATTATTTGTTTTTCAGGTCTGTGTGTGAGTTCACAATCTCTCAAGGTAATTTCAATGTTTCCTTTTATATCAAGCGAGGATTTCGGCATCCGTTGATGTATTATTTGTGGATTTTTTGGTGTCTGGCGTAATTTCCCTTGCTTTTGAAGCATTTTGAGCATATTCCACAGCGGAACGGTTTTTCGCCGGTATGGTGAACTCGAATGTGATTCTTTAGTTCTGGTTGCTTTGGACTTTTGTATCGCCGACATAAATGACATTCGTAGCAACGTCTCTTGCACTTTCCTTCGTGAATGTCCTTTTCAGTTTGTTGAATAAAACTTTTGCAGCAAACCGAACACTTGAATCTCAATGGACGAGGATTGATGTGAGTTTTCATGTGGCTATTCAAGTGGCTTGCTTGTTTGAATTTCTCGGTATGGCTTCGCGCCAGTGTGTACATGCAAATGTCTTTTCAAACTCCGCTTGTGCAATGTAGAGAAATTCTTGCAAAAATAACATTCGTAACGTGAAATGTTACAGACAGCTTCATGTTCCGATTGCTCATTGCTATGAGAGAATCCTTGCAAACACTTCGAACAACTGAACGGATATTCGGTGACGTGTGTTCTCATGTGGATTTGAAGAGTTATTTTTTGGGTGAATTGCTTAGGACACAAAGTACATGAATGTGGTTTCTCACCGGTGTGCTTGAGAATGTGTATTTTCAAGTTGTGTTTATACGAAGTGGCATACTCACAGAGTGAGCACTTGTGTTGTTTTTCCTTTGTAGACACCTTTTCTAAATCTTCTGTACTTTCCTCTTTCACCTCCTGTTTAATCGCACCCGAATGACAAAGGCCATCGAAATCGGACCATCCATTTGCTCATAGTCAGTCGACCTGCGAAGACTGGTGCCAGAATGCTCTACCACGCAAATGTCACCTACATCTTGTGGCTCTTCTTTGACACCCGGCTCAGATTTCACTTCGATTCCAAGCAAATTCAGTTCACCATATTCGCATGACATTTCATTTGCGTCGTTTTTATCGAGAGGTGGTTTGCCATGACTATCCATTGCGTCGCAATTCACGTACTGTCAATTGGAACAATTTTCCATAAGAATTATAGCATAAATATTGTAGAGAAAAAAGATCCACTTCGAAATTTTCTTACTTGTTTTTGTCCGTGAAGAGAGAATGAAATCGATCGATAATTCAATGGCACAAAATATATTGTATCGCAAGTTACGTACTGTCAATTGGAATAATTTTTTCATTATAGAATATTCAAATCCACATGAGTACACACGTCACCGAATTACCGTTCAGTTGTTCGAAGTGTTTGGGACAATTCACCTTTTCGCAGCAGCCAAATCCGATTAGGTTTCGATCTCAAGGCCCACAATTAATTGGTATTAATTTATTATTTGACGCTATTAAACACCAAATATGGCGGCTTCAATAAGCAAAAATGTTTGTCTGTATAAGTGCGGTCGCACAAATTAAACGTGGACAGCAATCGACGACAATTGATGGTTTGATGCTGTAAATGCTGCTGATACACAGACTTGCACGACCGCACTTATACAGACACACTCGGATCAATTCACATTGAATGTGAATACCATCGAAATGGTATTGTCGCTAAACGATGCATATTTCCAAAATACTCAAAGCAATGATGATCGTTCTGTGCGTAAATCCAAGAAAACGATGTGATTTTATTTGGATCTAATTTTTTATTTGTAATTTGGAATTAGAAAAATAAAAAAGAGTTTTTCACTTGAAATTAGCCTTTCAATCAAGCTTTGACCGCAACGGAAAAGGAACGCATTTACGGTACCCAAAGCTTATGAAAATCCACCCAGTTTCTTCTCACTAAATTTCACAAAGTTGAACCGAATCAGTGATACAAAAATATAAAACTCTCAATCAGTGAATAAATTTAAAATTGAAGCGAATTTTAAATCAATTAAATTGAAATTGGTGATTGCTTTTATGTTCGAACTGAATTAGAAATTCAAATACGGTCCAATCGATCAGCGACAACAGTCAACTACTTTTGGAAGAGAGGCTACCGTCATCGTGTGTGCTATATATCGTCATATCAGGACGTTACTACTATACACAAAGATTTTCGTATCATAACCGACATAGACATTCTATCAAAGACATAATCAACATTATTATTTTTATTCAAAATAATTTTCTTTTATCCATTGTAAGTGATAGCATAATTTGATGCAAAGCACAGCAACATTCATTATTACATTCTCTTTTCAGATCGTTGGTCATTGGTTTTCTTCGTTGAAAAATCAACATTTCTAGACAGCAGTTCATAGACATTTCAAAAATGGAACCACTCGTTGTCATCACTCAAGTCTGTCTTACTTGTGGACTTTATATCACTAATGTTACATCGTTGGAATCCTATACTCCATCCAGCACTCTTTGCAACAGATGCAATAAACCAATGACGATTCAAACATCATCTGAATAATGGTATAAGACTTTCATCCTAGAATATTTCATTGCATTTGTCAATTTATTCTCGTCAATTTTGATCTCATTCTGACAGGGCGACTAATTCACTGCAAGAAACATCAACGGAATAACACAAAAACTATAGCCAGCCGAAACATATTTGTTTTAAACCCTAATTTTGTTTGGTGAATTAAAATGAA